TTTGATTCGGTTGGATGGGACTTCTTATTTCAAGTTATGAGAAGATTTTGCTTTTGTGAAATGTTTATACAATGTATAAGAACACTTTACTCCTCCCCATCAGCAGGAATAAAAATTAATAGGAGTCACTCAAACTCGATAATGTTACAACGAGGATGTAGACAAGGCTGCCCACTCAGCCCATCACTTTTCAACCTTTTTATTGAACCTCTGGCCCAGGCTATCAGGAAGGAGTCAGCTCTGGAGGGTATTTCCCTAGATGGAGTAGAAAACAAAATTCTTCTTCCAACACTTAGAAATCCTGAATATGGAGTCTCACTTAGGCCTGTCACGATAACAAATTTTGCTGGACGATAAATTGTCCCAGAAGTTATCGCAATAAACGATAATATTGTCGTTCCGAGACCATTTTCATCTAATATAATGATAATGGCATAATAATGCAGGTACACCTTTTCAAAGATCAATAAACTTTTATTTCTAAACAATATGAAATACTGGAACTGGAAGACATTTTAAATATCCACAAGAAATGAACAAAACAACCAAAAACAATAAATAAAATGGACTCTCAGTCTCTGTTAACAAAAAATGCACTGGAATAAAAACCACACAACCGAAACAATGAATAAAATGGATGTAGACAAAATTGCACTTCAAAAAATATTAAACATTAGGCTCAGACATAAAGAGTGATACATTTCTTAACAGGCAAACCTGCCAGTTAGGACCTTTGTAAACATTTAGTGCAAAAGAGATGAAGCAGATGCCTATTATCAATATTGACAACTTCGGGCTTCATATGAACTATGAACCTAGCTAGTTCCCGCCTCCTCAGCACGAGCTGAACGATAAATCTAACCCACCAAGAGAGGCGGGAATTAAGGCAGAACAGCCAATCATCAGCTGGTCACACTCAAAGCCGGTGTCATGTTTGAGGCAACAACAGGAGAGAGAGGGGGAAAGGAGGCAGCCGCAGTGAGCGCAGACACAGAGCGGCCAGAGAAACAGAGTGACTGTAGTAAGGCGTTTGTGCAAAACTGCAGAAAGAGTGTGGGTGTTGAACTCTGTCACCGGGAAAAGTGTGGGTCTCAAAACACCCACATCCACCATGGGTGCGATGCCCCTGGGGTCACCGATGCACCGGAGTGGTCATCCAGTCTCTTTGGTAGACAGAGAGACGAGGAAATCAAACAAGCATGTAAATGGAAATTATCGCGGCCGAAAAAATTATCGAGCTAATTTTATTTATCGTGCGATTAATTGATTTATCTTATATCGCGACAGGCCTAGTCTCACTGCTGATGAAGATCCTCGGGAACTATGGGAGATTCTCAGGTTACAAATTGAACAAGCAGAAAACTCAAGTTTTAGCCTTTAATTTCGCCCCTTCTCCAAAGCTGATGAGGAACATCAGTTTCATTGGCATCAGCAGCACATTTAAATATCTGGGAGTCCTTACGAAGGACATGTCACAGTTGTTAGTTAAGTTAATTATAAACAGGTTAACAGGAAAGTGTATGATGACTTGGATAGGTGGGGCTTGCTTCCCCTTGACCTCGGTGGCAGAATAAGGACAATTAAAATGAACATTCTCCCAAGATTGTTATACCTATTCACAGCACTTCCAGTGGAGGTGCCTCTTAAACAGTTTAGGGAATGGGACAAACACCTGTCAAGATTCATACAACGCAAAAAAATCGCCTAAAAAAGCTGCAAAATTCAACGTGGCCAACTTTGACACGCCACGATCACGCCATTCAACATATGTAGACAAATAGCACAACTTTTAATCAAAAACATAGTTTGACTGTACCGACCAATTTTGAAGCGGATCCGATGAATTCCCTAGGAGGAGTTCGTTCAAATACAAGACGAAAAATTCACCGAAAATGACCACGGAATTCAAAATGGCCAACTTTGACGGCATGCCACGGACACGCCCTTCAACATACATGCACAAATAGCACAACTTTTAATCAACATACTTTGACTGTACTGACCAATTTTGAAGCAGATCCGATGAATTCCCTAGGAGGATTTGTTCAAATACAAGGCAAAAAGTTCGCCGAAAGTGAAAAATGAAAATGGCCGACTTCCCTTGGAGTTTGGGTTATGGGTCCATGAGGCTTTTCTGTAGGTCTCGTGACATTACACGCGCCTACCGAGTTTCATACATATCAGTGAAACGTTGAAATACTGTCTATAAACGCGACAAACACAATTTTTGGTATGTGAGCTTAAGGCACCAGTCTACACGTGCCCTGTGAATTTCATATTCATAACTATTACGGTCTCCGCACAGTGATTTACCATGCCACCAGAGCGCCACCTAGTGGCGGATTGTTGACACATTTTTTAGGGAGGCCCCTAAAAAATGCCATGGGCAAGCATCGTAGCAAGTTTCATTTTAATCACACGTGTCGATGCAGAGATCTAAACTTCTTCATTTTAAAGAGCGCCACCTTGTGGCGATGGCCTGAAGTGGTGCACGATCCCTAAGGAAGACATGGGGAACTATGGACCCAAGCTTGGTGTCAATCGGACATAACAATGTGGAGAAATGGTCCACTTCCTTTTTTAACAAAAAATTTACAGGAAGTGCTAATTTTATAACCTGCTTATTTTCATCAAAATTCTTCGAATTACTTTTTTGCCTGGACGGTCCCCAGATTCTACGTGAAAAAATTCTTGTGAATCGGACAAAGCACATAGGAGGAACACCAAAAAGTAGGTTATGGACATTTCGTGCTCGAGCGAAAAACAATTATAGGCGGAAGTGGGCGTGGACTATATAGGGAGATTCAGCTCCATTCACCAAACGCGTGGATATAAGGTTTTTGAATGTGCGCCAAACTATGCAGACGTTATTACGTTATTTTTTATGATAGTAGCGCCACCTAGTGGCCAACCCAAAAGCGACGCATGGAATATTAAAATTTTCACCACGTGTGCCACGTTTCATGAGTTTTCAAGCATGTTGCAGCCTCCAAATATGCGTTTGTTTAGGAGGAAAAATAAGAAAAAGAATTCCTTCAATTACAATAGAGCCTTCGCACGGTCAGTGCTCGGGCCCTAATAATAATAATAAAAAACCCAGAGTGAGATACTCAACATTACAGCTGCCGGGGGGGGGGCATGGCCTTACCATGTCTTAAAGATTACTACCTGTCTGCTCAGCTGAGGCCTCTTGTGTGCTGGTGTAATCTGGCATATGAGGCGAGATGGAAAGACATTGAGCTGTCTTTAATGGACATACAGCAGTCTTCAAATCTTGAAGTTTCCATGGGCCTCTTCTATGAACTCTGATCTTTAGTTCTTTCCATAGATTTTCTATTGGATTCAAGTCAGGTGATTGGCTGGGCCATTCTAGCAGCTTTATTTTCTTTCTCTGAAACCAATTGAGAGTTTCCTTGGCTGTGTGTTTGGGATCATTGTCTTGCTGAAATGTCCACCCTCGTTTCATCTTCATCATCCTGGTAGATGGCAGCAGATTTTTATCAAGAATGTCTCTGTAAATTTTTCCATTCATCCTTCCTTCAATTATATGAAGTTTGCCAGTGCCGTATGCTGAAAAACAGCCCCACACTATGATGTTCCCACCTCCAAACTTCACTGTTGGTATGGTGTTTTTGGGGTGATGTGCAGTACCATTTGACCTCTAAACATGCTGTGTATTATGGCATCCAAAGAGTTGAACTTTGGTCTCATCTGACCAGACTATATTCTCCCAGTATTTCACAGGCTTGTCTAAATGTTGTGCAGCAACTTTAAACGCGTTTCAACATGCTTTTTCTTCAGCAATGGAGTCTTGCGCAGTGAGCGTGCATACAGGCCATGGCGGTTGAGTGCATTACTTATTATTTTCTTTGAAACAACCAGCTCTGCCTCTGAGCCACAGCCGCCCCTCTTTCACTTGGCATGGCCTCAAATCAAAAGGTTGCAGTAAATATATAATGTGAACTCTTATAATGTGAAGACTTAATAGTTTTGAGGACTTATGCCAGGCGTATAAGCTGGGCAAAGAGGACTTCTACCGGTACCTACAGATTCGTCACTTTTTTTTAAAGGAAATAAGGCCCTCTGATCCTACTGAGCCCTTAAGAATAACCCAGATACTTATTGATGCTTATAATTAAAAAAACACAAAAGGTATCATAAAACTATACAAGGGTTTTTTTCCCTTAATGAATACACATTCAATTAACTATATAAGGGAGTGCTGGGAAAAGGAAACCAATATAGTAATCTCAGAGGATGTGTGGTTTCAAATATGGGAGACCCAGTCTACCTCTACTAACTCCTTGTTTTGGAGGGATTTCAGTTGGAAAAATCTCACTCTTTTATTACCCCCAACCAAAAATCCAAATTTAGTGGGTCTCAGTGCTTCTGCTGGAGGGAGTGTGGATCAGTTTCAGCAGATTATGCTTACATTTTCTGGTCATGCCCTTATGTTGTGCTTTTCTGGAAAGAAGTGGGCTGATTGGTCTCAGAGATCCTGGATCTGAGATTTGACTTTTCTTTTACCTAAATGTACCTTGGACATATTCCTAAGGATTTTAATAAGAGTGACTCATACCTTTTGAAGATCTTTCTGGCCGCCAGTAAAAAGGCGATTACAAAATGTTGGCTCCAGAGGAACCCTCCTACCATCACTCTTCTAATCAATATAATCAACTCTATACGCATTATGGAGAAAATGACTTTTAGTATTCGATTACAAAAGGAGAAGGGAGACAAATATTGGAAAAAATGGGACTGTTATAACCATGTAGATCTATAATATATATGTATGTGTGTACTGTATTTATCTTTTTTTCTAACTAGACCTTTCAATGACCTGTACTTGTACTGTTTCTTTTGGCTTACCCTTACTTTGTATATGTAAAAATTCCAGACCTCACCCTTTCTATTTTCACATAAAAGCAAAAAAATAAAAGTATAAAAAATAAAAAACACTACACAGGGGAGCAGTGTGTGTTGTTGTGTAGTATACGTACCGGAGTTTCTAGGGGGACACAGGGCACAGTCCATGCCCCAGGCCTCTCCGTGCAGACAGCAGCACTCTGTGTATGTGACCTTCCAGTTTGGACCAAGCGGCCGTGTGCACGTCATGGTTTCTGTCACCTTCTGCCAGCAGATATGGTAGTCTATCTGCTCAGCCTCATGTTGCTCTGCAAACACAAACAGCATTACTAACTAACACAGTATTGTGTTTTGCACCATGGTACGTGGAAGAATCTTTCAAATGAAAAATAAAAAGAATTAAAGCTGCAAGCAGCGTTGAGCGACCACCCCACCCAACTCGGGCGTGCTGCGGCCGCGTCGCGTGGCGTCGTAACACTTGGGGACCACAACATGAAAATGTCACGTAAATCAGCTGAAAATCGCCAAGCAGCGCTTACCTCCTGTTGCCAGAAGGTGGCGCTATCACTATGTCTGAATGTTGTCATGTAGACATGTTCAAGGTGCGGACTGTTATCAAACACGTGAAGTTTCATTGAGATTGGACCACGTACGCTGAAGTTATGAGGACGTGTTCATGGCGAGACTGTTACAGAATATATGAAGTTCACTGGAGATTGGACATTGCACACTGAAGTTATGAGTGGCGTTTCATGGCGAATCCGCTGAATTGGACAAGTCGTCACTGGCACGGTCATTTCACGTAACGCAGCTGAAAATCGTAACGCAGCTCAAAATCGCCACGCAGCGCTTACTTCTTATTGCCAGTGGGTGGCGCTATCACTTTGTCTGAATATTGTCATGTAGACGTGTTCAGGGTGGGAGTGTTATCAAACACGTGAAGTTTCATTGAGATTGGATCATGTACGCTGAAGTTATGAGGACGTGTTCAGGGTGGGACTGTACACTGAAGTTGAGTACTATCTGTTTAGGGTGACTGGTCAAAATTCAACGCAACGCCACGGGCACGCCGTTTGACGGAATGTCGTAAATAGCACAACTTTAAATCATGAATGTCTTTAGATTGTGCTGATTAAATTTGAAGTAGATCCGATAAATTCCCTAGGAGGAGTTCGTTCAAATACAAGGCGAAAAATCACAGAAAATGAGCACAGAATGCAAAATGGCTGACTTTGATGGGAAGCCACGGACACGCCGTTTGACGGAATGTCGTAAATAGCACAACTTTAAATCAGGACCATTTTTTGAGTGTACTCACAAATTTTGAAGCATATCGGATAAATTCCCTAGGAGGAGTTCGTTCAAACACAACGCGATAAATTCGCCGAAAGTGAAACTTTAAATCAAAATGGCCGACTTCCTGTGGGGTTTCGGGTATGGGTCCAAGAGGCTTTTTTGTACGACCCGGCATTCTAAACGGGCCGACCGAGTTTCGTACATATCGGTGAAACGTGGCGCCGGGGCTGCTGTTTTTTTATCCTGTAGGGGGCGCTACACACACGACGAACACGATTTTTGGTATGTGAGCTTCAGGCACTACTCTACACGTGCCCTGTGAATTTCATATTCATAACTATTACGGTGTCCGCACAGTGATTTTTCATGCCAAAAGAGCACCACCTAGTGGCGTATTTTTTTTCTCCTTTTTAAGTGAGCCTCAGGGAGCCATGGGGAAGCATTGTCCCAAGTTTCATCTTAATGTCCCATACCGTTGCAGAGATATAAACGTCTTCATTTTAAAGAGCGCCACCTAGTGGTTATGGTCTGAAATTGTGCACGGTGCCTAAGGAGGACATGAGGAACTATGGACCCAAGTTTGATGTGAATCAAACATACCAATGTTAAGAAATGGTCCTCTTTCTTTTTTGACGAAAAATCTACAAAAAGTCTTAATTTTACAGCGCGCTTATTTTTTGAAATTTCAAAAAGGTTCAAATTACTTTTTTTGCCAGGGCGGTCCCCAGGTGCTAGGTGAAAAATTTCGTGGGAATTGGACAAAGCGTGTAGGGAGGACCACGAAAACGTACTTTAAGGACTTTTCGCACTCTAGCGGAAAAAAATTATAGGCGGAAGTGGGCGGGGCCTATATGGAGAGATTCAGCTCCATTCACTGAACGCGTGGATATAAGTTTTTTGAATGTGCGACAAAATATGCAGAAGTTATTAAGTAACCAAAAAGTGAAAATACTTTCCTAAATAGTAGCGCCACCTAGTGGCCGACCTGAAAAAGACACATAGAATATCAAATTTTTCACCAGGCCTGACAACTTTGCCAAATAAAATTGAGTTTTCGTATATATTCAGGGGGGGAAAAACGCAGTCGAAGTGGCCTAAAAATAATAATAATTAAAGCTGCAAGCAGCGTTGAGCGGGACCTCGCACTCCACCCAACTCGGGGCGTGCTGCGGCCGCGTCGCGGGCCGTCGTAACACGTGGGGACCACAACATGAAAATGTCACGTAAATCAGCTCAAAATCGCCAAGCAGCGCTTACCTCCTGTTGCCAGAAGGTGGCGCTATCACTATGTCTGAATGTTGTCATGTAGACATGTTCAAGGCGCGATTGTTATCAAACACGTGAAGTTTCATTGAGATTGGACCACGTACGCTGAAGTTATGAGGACGTGTTCATGGTGAGACTGTTACAGAATATATGAAGTTCACTGGAGATTGGACATTGCACACTGAAGTTATGAGTGGCATTTCATGGCGAATCCGCTGAATTGGACAAGTCGTCACTGGCACAGTCATTTCACGTAACGCAGCTCAAAATCGCAACGCAGCGCTTACTTCCTGTTGCCAGTGGGTGGCGCTATCACTATGTCTGAATATTGTCATGTAGACGTGTTCAGGGTGGGAGTGTTATCAAACACGTGAAGTTTCATTGAGATTGGATCATGTACGCTGAAGTTATGAGGACGTGTTCAGGGTGGGACTGTACACTGAAGTTGAGTACTATCTGTTTAGGGTGACTGGTCAGAATTCAACGCAACGCCACGGGCACGCCGTTTGACGGAATGTCGTAAATAGCACAACTTTAAATCATGAATGTCTTTAGATTGTGCTGATTAAATTTGAAGTAGATCCGATAAATTCCCTAGGAGGAGTTCGTTCAAATACAAGGCGAAAAATCACAGAAAATGAGCACAGAATGCAAAATGGCTGACTTTGATGGGAAGCCACGGACACGCCGTTTGACGGAATGTCGTAAATAGCACAACTTTAAATCAGGACCATTTTTTGAGTGTACTCACAAATTTTGAAGCATATCGGATGCTTGAATACTTTAGAGCAACATTTAATTGCGCTGCATATTCCGTTCATGAAGTTGCTGGCGTTGCCTAAAGGTGGGCAAAATGGCGTCCATGGGCCTGTAACGTGTGTTCCTGCTAATATTGTGCAGACGAGCAATTTGCTGCCGCGTTCGGACATGGATGGATCTTTGCTACCTGTAAAACTGAAGCGCAAGCTCACGTATAAAGGGCATTATGAGTACCAGTTTGTTGATAGTATGCGCATCAAGCAGGCTTTGCAGTATTTGAAACGGAGTAATGTACATTATAAGGATGTAGATTTTAATGAAGCATGGTTAAATGAGTTTTGTAGGGAACAAGAGAGTGTGGCAGAACAAGAGAGTGCAGCAGTAGATGGTAATGGTAGTGATGACAGTATTGGTGCTGCGGAGGAAGGTGAGCTTCTGCATGACAGACAACAACATTGTATGTTTCCAGGACACTTGTCTTATGCCTGTTGACATTGGTCAAGAAGCACTTGATCAATATTTTGATAACATATTAAATTTAGCTCCAGCAGAAGGCAACACTCCTGTCAAGTTGTTGTCTGATCATTCAAATGAAGCAAAATGTTTCCCGGTGTTGTTTCCGACTGGATCTGGGACGTACCATGACAGCAGACCTCATCGCTTGACTTTGTGCCGTTATTTTAATAATCGTATTTTACATGCTGATGGTAGATTTGCACAAAATGTTGATTATATCTTCTTTGCTCAGTACATGTCTGAGGTTCAACAGGTTGTGTCAAATGTATCAATAGCATTACGGAAGGGAAAAGGGGGGCAATTTAAAAAAATAACCACAAATGTATTAAATGATGAGGAACAATTAAAGCAGTTGTTGCAGTTTGATGATGGGTATCGCTTTCTTAAACCTATTAGAGGTACCCCATCTTTTTGGCAGGGCGTGCAGCGTGATTTGTTAGCTTGTGTTCGTCAGCTGGGGATCCCGACGTGGTTTTGTTCTTTTTCTTCTGCTGATATGCGGTGGAAGAATCTTTTGAATAGCATATTGAAACAGGAAGGTAGGACAGAGACGGCCGAAGAGCTGGAGTGGGCAGATAGATGCGAACTTTTGCGGCGTAATCCCGTTACTGCAGCGAGGATGTTCGATTTTCGCTGGCATTGTTTTTTGAAAGAGGTTTTAATGTCTCCATCTAATCCCATTGGCAAAATAATAGATTACTTCTATAGGGTTGAATTCCAGCAGCGTGGTTCACCACATGTTCACTGCCTGTTTTGGATAGAAAATGCGCCAATAATTGATAAAAATACTGATGAAGAGGTAATTCAATTTATTGATAATTATGTAACATGTGAATTACCTGCACGAGATGAGACACTATTGGACATAGTTTCATCTGTGCAAAAGCATTCCAAACGGCATTCTAAAACATGCAAAAAAAATAGAACTGTTTGTCGTTTTAATTTTCCTAAACCTCCGTCTGCGAGAACTTTTATATCTCGCCCGCCTATTGAAGACGAGGAGGAGGATAAAACATGCACATGTCAGAAAGATGGAGCACAAAAATTGGCAGATTGTGCATGCAAAATTAGGAAACAGAAAAAATTAGAACAAAAAGCAATGGCAGTGAACATTACAACAAAAATTAAAATGGCCCTTTCAGATGACAATGCCAGTTTTGACAGTGTAGAGCAATTGTTTAGTCATTTACGCATAAATCAAAGGATATTTGAGAAAGCGTACAATATTTGCGCTAAAAAGACGCACGTTGTTTTAAGAAGGCAAGCTAATGAGGTTTGGATTAATCAATATAGCAAACCACTTTTAAAATGTTGGAATGCGAATATTGATATCCAATATGTTGTTGACGCGTATGCTTGTGTAGTGTACATTATTTCCTACATTTCGAAAGCAGAGCGTGAGATGGGATTATTGTTAGGGAATGCACAGAGGGAAGCAGCTAGAGATGGAAATGGCAGTGCTAAAGACGCGCTTAAAAATTTAGGAAGTGTGTATTTACACAATAGAGATGTGTCTGCACAAGAGGCTGTCTACA